TTCCTCCAGGGCCTCGGAGTCGGGGGTCTCCTTGGGCTTGGCCACCTTCTTGCCCTTGGTCATGATCTCCTTGAGCTCGATCAGGGCCTGCTCTTTGGCATTCATCAGGTCCTCCATCGTCTCCGCAAGCTTTTGCTTCTTCTCCTTGAACTTCTTGCGTTCGGCCATGTATGCATCCTGGAGGCTCTGCTTGAAGAGGTCCCACTTCAAATCGAGTTGCTTCGCTTCTGCCTCCACTTTGCGAGCTCGGGTAACCGCCTTTCTCACTCCGTTGAGTCCTCGCTGGACCCCGTTGAGGTAATGGCCGGTTTCGGGTAGCTCCAGCATTTCCTCTGGCTCTTCTCGTGATGTCGGAGTCATTCGAGGTGCCGTAGAGGGTTGCATCTCTTCGAAGGATGGGAACGCTCCCCCGCGTGGCTGGGCATTGTCCGTCTCCGGCCACTGCTCCTTGTACTTCTTGCCCTTGCCCGCACTCTTGGGATTGCGATACCCATATGAAGATGAGGACCAGGAGGAATCTTCGTCTGTCCATCCAGCCCATTTCGCTTTGCCACCACGTCCCATGGACTCACGGTAGCAAGGTTGGCTGTGGTGCCTGGCGAGCAGCTGTACTGCTCTTTTCGGGCCAGGAAGACCTCGTTGGCGCGCAGCTTTGATGGCAGCACGTGCCTTTGATCTGCGCAGCCTTTCTCGTCGGTGCCAGGGCGGAGATTTCGCCGTATGGCACTACGCGGTCGTGCCTACCGTATCGGCACTTGGGGTACGCCGGCTATAACCACTGTCTTTCCAGTGGTTTCGATCCGAGACCCTGTATGTGATATATATATATATATATGTATATATATATATATATGTATATATGTATGTATGTATGTATGTATACATACATACATACATACATATAAACACATCTTTACATACATATATATATATATATATGTATATATATATATATACACACATACAATATGTACATGTACACGTGTTTGTGTGTTTCTACACACACATATATATATATATATATATATATATATATACCTGCTAAGCCTGTGTGCCAACAATTAGTGTGCAATCTGGAAAAGGTGTAGGAACCATCAGCACCGAACGTATAATTATGTTGCCCACGCTTAAAATTGACCCACGAACGGGTTGAACGCATATTCTTGACTCGGCTCTTTGATTTGCTGGAATCGGTGTTCAACACATGTGGGTGGCTCAACAGTATACTGTTCATGGGGTTATGCTCTGGTTTTGGGTTGAGGTGTCGGGAGAAGGGACCGCAGTTCGGAACTCGATTTTTCAAGGCGTGGCCACTGCTTCTCGCTGCCACAACAACTGCACATGACAGAGATATCGCTCGAGAGCCCTCTGTATTCGCAGTCTGGGGCTCACGGAACGTGTCAACTGGCAAAATTTGCCAATAAAATCTTCATCGATGCTGCAGCTTTCGCTCAAAGGATTCTCGCAGAAGCCATGCTTGGTTGTTTGATCGATCATGTTGTGAACAAGGTGCCAGTACATATGTACTTTCGGCACCAAGGCGAACTTGAGCTCGGATCTCGAATGACAAATACGTGCTAAACGGCCATAACAATCAAGGAAATGGCGTCCAGCCAGGTTGATGCGATTAGCATCCTGTCTCGACAGCCAAGCTCCCCCAGAATGTAGCATTCGCATCCAATCATTGAGTGCACGACTCGACGATGCCTTCTGCTCATGCGACTTAAGTTAGGAAAAGTTGCCCACACGATCCGAAACCTTATAAAAGCCAAAAAGGAAATCTTGCCAAGAGACAATAAGACGGCTCATTTCGTCGGCATGATTTGCCAGGTTCCAGAGAGTGCTTATATGCTGGATGAAGAGGCAAAGGCTTGTTGTCAGGGCACCCTTATTCCAGCCTCCAGAAGCCTCCACGGTGGCACTTTTCCATGCCAAGGTGTCCCTCGTCAATCGCTGAACGAAATTGGTGATTCTGTTCTCCTGATTTGTGTGTGTTTCGATCATATATCTATTGACCGAAAAAGCTTGTCCATGGGCAACATCAACAAAGCGAAACATATTTATGGAGCCCAGGATCTTTGCAAAACTCGAGATAATGTGCCGAAAGCTCCTCCAGCCTCAAGTCAACCGAAGTCCCAGGGCAAAACTCTTGCAGGTGAGCCAAGCAGCTGGCTGCGTAGGTTTTGCCAATGCCGATGCTGACAGTGTGAAATACATCAACTTTGTAGAAAGTTTCCTTGCGATCCGGCTCGTGGAGCAAAACTCTGGTGAAGCAGGGCTCCTCGTCCCATGGCAACTCAGCCCCAAAAGTAGTTGCAAATCTTGGAGTTGTAGACCTCGGCTTAAGGAACAGAGACACATCCAGAAAGTAGCTGCCAAGCTTTATGCGAGGTTGGGAGGGAGATCAACCCAATAAAATCTGAACATGATGGGGCACAGATCTTCGAAGTCGTTTTCTGGCCTTCCGGCCAGACAAAGATGGCAAATGCCTGTACAAGGCTTGCTGGCTTTTTGAGCCTTTGGCCCATTCTTGTACGATCGGTTCATGTCTGCACTGGCAGCCTGAATCAGGGTCCAATGAGCTAAACAACCCGTTCTTTTGAGGATGTATACTCACGAAAGTAGACAAAAAACGAACATGAGCACAAGGAACCAGAAAGGACCAATCGCCTTTCAGGCCAACAGGTACGAGATGCAGCATTTGACCTGATTGAAGTTGGACCCCTTGTCGGCATGCATCATCCAATGAGGCTGTAGCCAACTCCAAATACTGCTTGTAAATATCCGGATTGTTTCGATAGTCCTCCTTTAAACCAGCCACAATCAAAAACCTGCTTTGAAAAGCATGCCCAACGAAGTTCAATAGCTGTTTGTTGTCGCCGGCCACATTGCCCACTTTGTTCTTGGAGGTGCCTCTCCCCAGTGGCGATTGAAATGATAGTACCAATGCCCCATCTCGTTTGTAAGTGGTTCCTTCATCCCCGTGCAAAAGCACTGGGAGACAGCGGCTCAAGGGAACTTGCAGATTGAAGATTTGATGTGTGGGGTGGAGCTGCTTGAAGTTGTCCCAATAAGATTCAAGCATTTTGGGCAAGTCGTCCAGTGAGCAGCTCACCAGTTTACCTAGCCTGCCGGCTTTGTCTAAAGTCTGAATCCAAGATGACACAGGGATGTATGGGTGCTCGCGGTGTTGGCCAATATGTGCATAACATATCTTCACATCCAGTCGCAAACCTGCTTTGGCAAAAACCCGGGCCACCACACTCTCCTCAGGAACCAAGAATAACCGGAAACACCAACTCCGTTTACAAAAGCCTCGATCTACCCCAAAACACTGCTATATGAGTAACTTTATGGAAGTATATATTGAAACCTACGAAGTGCCTGCATGCTGTCGGCTGCATAAGTGGCTCAATGAACATTACATTGCATGCTGAAGCACTGACTTCGACTCGGGTGCATCGTAAAGCTGCAGAAGAACAGGGCACACTTGCATATTCCGTTGTTCTTCTCGATCTCGCATGTCATACTGCACGATTGTAGTAGCCTGCTGGATAATGTCAGTGCACGGAGCCTCGGAAGCAGGAATGCACCCCAGACGTGACGGTTTATAAAGGGCTCTCATAGGGACCTATGTACGGCTTAGGCTTAAGGCTCCTCTTTCACCCTCGAGAAGAATTACCATATACAAACCCATACCTCAACCTATAACAAGAACTCGTCAATGAATTCCCTCTTCGATAGATGGTTCCCCCATGGATGCGAGCCACCCCATTGGCATAGCTCCATGCCAGTCGCTGGGCAGCATCGGAAGGAGCTGGCATTTGAAAGGGTTTGCTGTTATAGTGTATGCATCGGGTGTTCGATAGCAGGCCAGCATACATCTCGGGTTTTTGTCCTGCGTCCCAGGGTTCTGTGTTGTCACACAGCGAACGGCATCCTATGGATCCTGCGGAATTAACGGGCTTTGCACTGGATTTGCATGTAGCAATGCAGCATGTGGATTCACACACCACACCAGCCGGCAAGCTTCAACACTTTAACAGCTGTACAGAAGTCGAAAGGACACAGCTTCACTTCTTCTTGCGTGGATTTTTCTTGGGCTCCGCTTGCTGGTGATCGCTCGGTCGCTTGACTCTTCTTCAGCTCCAGGAGCACCAACCTTGCAGATATCTTCAGAAGAGTTATCAAGCATTGTTTCGAACATGCATGTGTGAATGCAAACGACCAAAAGCCATTAAAACGAGAAGCTTCACCCGAGACTCCATTGCAATCAGTTCGGCACACCTTAGAATCACACGTGAGGCAGTCACATCCTGGTACAGTAGCCCCACAACAACTTCAAAAGCACATGAGGCGAGCTGCGGCTTCTTGATGGTGTCCTTGGCACTGATCACCTTCTGCAGGCACCTGGGCTGAGTTTGGGATTATAAGATTCTGCGGATGTAGGTTTTGGAATTCGGGGCTTAGCACAATGGCAATCTGAGAAGCTCGGGGGTCATCGTTTCCGATTCGCAAATCATTAGCTCGGCCTTCACTTTCGCCAGCTCATTGAAGGCATCTTGAAAGGATTTATCGATGCGGTCCAGGTCTTTCATCAGACTTAGGCAGCGAGTTCTTGAAACGTGGACACAAACACATGCAGGAAAACTGTTTGACGGAACTTGTTAACTCTATAGCCAAAGTGTCTCCGCTTTGGCCGGGGGCAATTTAGGACCATCTTCGGAATCGGAAATCGTTTTCTGCAGCTTGGCGATCGAAGCCATGTGGCCATGCACGGAATCCATCAGCTTCACAAGGTCGGGCAGAGTCTGCAGCAATAAAAGGTTTATAAGTCAGCTGCAGGGTGTATGTTTTATCGGGTTTAAGGTTATAGGGATTGTTAATCTGAAACTTCCATGGCCTTGTCTCCCACCTGCTCTGGCTTCGGCTGTGCTTTGCTTTCGTCCACCATAGCAGGTGCATCCAGGGACATCGGCATGTCGCCAGGATTTTGTTCCTCAGTAGCAGAAGTGACTGCAACCCAGGTTCATGCTATCGCCGTCCCAATGCAGCTGGGCATCTCCAAGATCCATGTTCTCGATGCGTTTCAGCAGCTCGCTGTGCTTGATGGTCTGTTTTGTCGAAATCTCAACGAAGTACTCCGTTACACTGTTGTCGTACTTCCATTTCCTGTAGTCAAGCACGAAAGGGTTTATAAAGGGTTTGGGGGATTTAGGGTTTTATAGGGCTTTGTGGGTGTATATAATATATGTGCAGAGAGAGAGAGAGAGAGAGAGAGAGAGAGAGAGAGAGAGAGAGAGAGAGAGAGAGAGAGAGAGAGAGAGAGAGAGAGAGAGAGAGAGAGAGGGGGAGAGAGAGGGGGAGAGAGAGGGGGAGAGAGAGGGGGAGAGAGAGAGAGAGAGAGAGAGAGAGAGCGGAGAGAGAGAGAGAGAGGGAGAGCGAGAGGGAGAGGGAGAGGGAGAGGAGAGGAGAGAGAGAGAGAGAGAGAGAGAGAGAGAGAGAGAGAGGGAGGGAGGGGGTTTGGCGGGTTTAGGGTTTTAGGGCTTTCGTACTTGTTGGATTTGGGGGGGTCTCGGCGCTCACAGGGTTTGAGGAGTGATGGTTTTTTTATGATATCCTGATACATCCATGAACCAGAGCCTCGTCAAGATCTGTGGAAATCGCTCACAGAATGCAATGATCGACTTGATGGTCTGCCTTAGGTTGGGTTGCTTGCATGTGTCGCTTGCATTCAATGGTGTTGCAAGCACAAAGATCATCAAGCCTAGTAGCTTGCTGTATTCACCCGATTTGTTCATTTTTTCCTCCGTGAGCCATTCCCCGTTCGTCTCGGACTCCTTGAGCATCTGGCGTTCTCGAATCTGTGTCACCCTGACCTTGAAGGATGCCTTGGCCAAGAATCCGGAGCACAAGGAGAATCAGGCCTATGGTGTTTGGCGGCTTGGGGAGTTTCAGGCTAGGTGCTTAAGTGCTTCGAGAAGGTTATATATGAGCCTTTTCAAGGGTTTGGGTTCTGGGATCACGGGTTCGGGCTTTGCTGGAAAGCCCTCAGAATCCGAAACCATAAACCCTGAAATTCATAACTTGTGCATGCAAGCTAGGTGCCTGAACTTGCTTGTGGGCTGCCTTGCCACGTCCCAGTGCAACCGTTCCCACATCTTGCAATGCTTCTAGCAGTGCCATCTCTAGCCACTCTCGCTGTGGCCCTCCACTGGCATACTGCTCGTGAGTTTCATTGTCGACATGACACTTGTGAGATTTCTTTTTTTGCTCGCACATCCTCTTTAACCGCATTCTCAATGCATCTTGGGTCAAGACCTGAGGATCCTATATAGGGTTTCGGCTTTAGGGGTTTAGGGTTTGGGGCTTTTTAAGGATATAACACTACTATATATATATATACATACATATATATCCTAAACCCTAAACCCCTAAGCCTAAACCCCTTAACTATATTAGACATATCCTACAAGGTTTATACAGGGTGTTAGGGTTGATCAAAACAAAAGCACCAACAATTCCAAACCGAACTTGAAGCCAATTGAACCACATCTTGCCTTAAGCCCCAGTCTATCAAGCAACGATGGTGCCGTCTGGCGAGGTCACCATGACCTTGCCGATTTGATCGTCCTGTTCCTCTGGCTCCTCCTCATCCTCGTCTTCTGCGACGGCAGCTGGTGCTGGTGCTGCTGCTTGGGCTGAAGTAGCTGCAGGGCTCGCTTGGCCTTTGGATCGGATTCGGTTTTGCGGGGTTTGGCACGGCACTTGTTTCGGGGGTGCTGCTTTTGTTGCTGCAAGCTGTTGCTCCAGCTCCTTGATCTTTGCCTGCAACAGCGAAACGTCGGTGCAGGCTCCAGGGATGCTTGGGTTTCTTGTTTGGCCGGGCGGTGTGCCTGCTGCTGATGGCGTGGGCGGAGATTGCTTCGGCGGGCTGGATTGCACCGGGCTTGTTTGGGCCTGCACGATTGTCGGCGGGCCAGTCTTTGCCTGCACAGGTGTCACTGGAGTGTTGGTTTGGGCCGGTGTCGGCGGGCTCTTTGCTTGGACCGGTGTCTGTGGGCTCTTTGCTTGGGCCGGTGTCTGCGGGCTCTTTGCTGGGGCCGGTGTCTGCGGGCTCTTTGTTTGGGCCGGTGTCGGTGGGCTCTTTGCTGGGGCCGGTGTCGGCGGGCTCTGAGTTTGCTGCACGGACGGTGGGCTCTTTGCTGGGGCCGGTGTCGGCGGGCTCTGAGTTTGCTGCACGGACGGTGGGTTGCTCGCTTGGGCCAGGGTCTGCACGGGTGTCTGCGGCGGGCTCTTTGCCTGTACGGGTGTTGCTGGGCTCTTGGCTTGGGCCTGCAAGGGTGTCGGTGGGCTTTTCGCTTGGGGCTGCAGATTCGGTGCTTTGGCTTCTGGAGAACCGGGTTCCGTGGTCTGGCTATCGGGGCCCTGACTTGCATCGACCTGTATAGTTGCAAACATCCGTTGGCTCGAAGGCCCTGACTTCTGCAGCTCCTCAAACTGTTTATGGGAGTTACGTAGGGATTATCATTCGGTTTAAGGCTTAGGGTGTTTAAAGGGTTAAGATAAGATATCAGCGATTCGTGCACAGCGAGAGTTGCACAGCAGACGGTAAGCTGTGCTTTTGTTTATTCAACATCCCTATACTATATACCTGCTATATACTTTCGGGTCTATATAGAGTCTATATAGGGGTCTTAATTAGGGGTGTGAAGTAGAAGTGCAAACCCCGATATCCTCGGCGGCGGTCTCAGGTGCGGCAGCGAAGGTGTCCTGCTCCAGCTGGGTGTCCTGACGAGCAAAAGGGAAGTTTAGGGTTGAAGGTCGGGTTTTTTTTGGGTTCAGGGCACACAGGGAAAGCGAATTCCTGGATGCCAGTAGATGCAGCCACCGGCTGAGCAAGCAGGGGCGGCAGCTGCTGGGTATCCTCAGCAGCAAAAGAAGCAAGGAGAGAGAAAGAGAGAGAGAGTGAGAGAGAGAGAGAGAGAGAGAGAGAGAGAGAGAGAGAGAGAGAGAGAGAGAGAGAGAGAGGAAGAGAGAGAAGGACCAGAGAAGGATAAACACTTTGACGAAACCAGTGCAGTCAATACTCAGCTGCTTGTGTCTGCTGCATCTCAATTGGTTCCGCCTTAACCGGCTCATTCTTGACAGCGAGAAGGGGGCTCGGTGCTGCTGTAGCCTGGAAAGTTGGCGATCGCAATCAAATGCTTTTGTTGATTCTCTGGTCGTGCTTTGTATTGAAGCAGGCAGGACCAACAGAGGTTGAGACCTTGCATCCTTTTCTCAAGATCATCTTGCACTCCTGACCAGGGTTGATTCGTGTATTATACAGGAATCTCAGCAAGATTTCGGGCTAGGATGTAGAGCAGCAAAGCAGTCCTGAATGGCCTGCAGCAGTGCTTCTCTTGATAGAAAGGAGGTGTCTAGGGCAAACTCCAAACCCGCCAGATCAGCGGTTGCCTTTGCCCCCTTGACCAAGTCTTCTACAGACATCTTGGCGGCCCAGGCATCGGAAGTGGAAGCCATGTGCAGGCTATCGAAGCACCCCAGATGCAAAATGCAGGGGTGTTAAAGAAAAGCTTGGGTTGCACACACACATATACACACACAAGGCATGGCGAATCTTTCGGTGCAGCAGTGATCGTGCCACAGTGCAAGCGAGGTCTCAGTGAGGCACAATATTGGATACCTTTTTGAGCAGCACTGCAATTCTCTCTTTAGCACCGAGCACAAAGCTCGACACACACTGTGTTGTGCCAGGGCTTCGGTTCTTTGGGGTCCTTATAGGGTTTAGGGTTCGGGGGGGGGGTCAAGATTTATTTAAGGGGTTCGGGTTTGAGAAGGCGTGGGTTCTTTTGGGACCTATATGATTTATAAAACCTTTAGAGGGTTCAAGGTTTGTGAGGTTGTTCTGGATAACCACGGAGCACAACACAGTCTGTTTTGTGTGTTCTTTTCGGAGCTAGGGGTTTAGGGCCTTGGGGCTTAAGGTTTCGGGCCTTGAGGGTCTGCAAGGTTTTGCTGTAGCTCGTGGACCCAAGCACCGGTCCATGTCGGGTCTAGGGATCGATGGGCTTTAATATATAAATAATATAATATAAGATAAGATAAGATAAGATAAGATAATAAATAATATAATATAATATAATATAATATAATAATATAATATACTATACTATAATATAATATATATATATATATATATATGTGTATATATACATATATGTTTTACATGTGTATATATATATATATTATATGTATGTATGTGTATATGTGTGTATTATATATATATATATACCATATATGATAAACTGTGTGTGTATGTATATATATGTGTGTGTGTGATATAAATATGGATATATATATATATATATATATGTGTGTGTGTGTGTGTGTTTCATATATGTATATGTATATGTGCATAATAGGGGACACGGTGTGTGTGTGTGTGTGTGTGTTTGTGTGTCTGTATTTAGAATGCTCACCAGCGGCAATATTTGCTCATAATGGACACAGCAGTCCCAGCCCCGCCCCGGAACAGCAGAGGTTTGTGTCTGGCTGCCTAGGAAAACTGAACTAGATTGACTGGGGCAGCCCAAGTTGGCCCGAAATGCCCTCAAAACTGGGCCCAAACTGGGATCATGGGGAGAACGCATTCCACGCTTTTTTAACGCATTTGGCGAACGCATCCGAACGCATACCGAACGCATTTTGAACGCTTTTTGAACGCATTCTGAACGCATACGCTTTTAACGCTTCCAACGAGTATGCATTTGATGCATTTAACGCATTTCGCCAACGCTTCCAACGGGTCGCAGAAATGCTCCAACGCTTCCAACGGGTCCGAACGCATTTGCAAGGCAAAGGTGACTTTGGAAGAAAAAATGCTGAAAAAAGCTTTGAAAAAAATTTGTTCCCCAACGAAAACCAAAAGGTAGCCTCCCCCTGCTGCCCTTCTCTCCTATTCGGCTCCAAAGCCACCACACCCCAGGCCACCACACCCCACATCCCGACAATTCCAGGCCCATATTCAGCACACAGCCCAGACCAAACCCCCCTAGACCCCCCCACCCCCCCCCGCCTGGATGCCAGCTGAAGACGGATGCGTGGCCGGACACCACAACCCCAGCCTCCCACCACACCCTCCCCACCCCCACCCATGGAGCAAAGCCAGCTAAACGCCCAATGCCACCAGAACCCCAGCCCACCACCAGCCCACCAAGCACACCCCCCAACCCCGCCCCCCCAACACCCAGCACACCCTCACCACACCTCCATACACATGTATATCACATATGCATGTGTGTGTATCAATATATATATATATATATATATATATATATATATATATATATTATAGACAAACACATATGTATGCAGGCATGCATACAAATATATATATATATATATATGTATATATATATATATATATATAGATATATATATGTATGTACAGTAACAATATTTGCAAACTATATAATGCTACACGATGTAAGACTTTTGTACATACATATATATATATATATATGCATGTTACACCATGTAAACGATGCATGTTCTCTCTCTATATTATATATATATATATATGGTATGATCCACTATCACAGGATAACTATATTTGATATATATTCTATATACACACACACACACCGACATGTATGTCACATGTGTGTGTATATATGTATATGCATACACACACGGAAGAAGTTTCGGTACTTGGGTCCCAGTAGCAGAATATATATATATATATATATATATATATTCAGGATTCCCACTAAAAAGCACATAACATATTTGACTCGACCCCCCCACAAACAGAACTTACCATGAAGACCTGCGTGCAAGTAGATACCGAACTTAATGCATACAAACCTTGCAGCCATACCCGATAAGCAGCAACTTGCAATCCCGAACAGAGCCCTCTAGCACTGGACAGCACCCCGGTCTTGGGTCCACCATGCAGCATCTCCTCAGGGTGTCCGTGCCGTGCAGCATCACCTGCAGAAGATGTGAGACTTGGCTTCGTGCTCCCGTCTCTTTGTCTCTCTCTCTCTCTCTCTCTCTCTCTCGCTTTCGTTCTCGTAAAAGTGCCCCGGTTTCGGCTTTCAGGGTTTGGCGATTTTCACTTTGCGGGGAGGCAACCGTTTATGCTTAATGCCGATCGATTCGAACCCTCTGACCCTCTTGGGTGTGTGAGAGTTTAGGATGTCTATGGAGGGGTCCAGGACTCATGTGCACAGCTTAAGGACATTGGGCAGCCAGGTATAAACCGTCAAGATCGAGGCATTGGTTTTAGGGTTCAAGAGATAATTTTTTCGGTGTATAGGTTTTGGGAATTTCGTGTGTAGGGTTCGGGTTTTAGGGCATTGGCATTTGTTTGTGGACCCAAAGACCAAAGACCCATTATAATATATGTACAGCCGAAGCCCCCCAAAACCCTAAAGCCCCAAACTACGAAGCCGGCCTTCTGGAGAGAGAGCGAGCTCCACAAGCAGCAAGGTTCTTCGGTTCTGGGCGAGCTGTGCTCCGAAGCTTCTCTGTATCGATGTACACACTACTCCTATAGGGCTTTTACGGGCTTTAGGGTTGTCGGGTACGTAGCCGGGCTTGTGGGAGCCGAGAACATTTGCTTCTGTTGCAGCTAAAGGCTTTCTTCATATAGGGCTTATAGGGTTTATAGGGTTTTGCGGGAATTGAAAGACTTGCTTTGGCTTAATCTGGACTTGTGTGGGCTTAGGTTTTTTTCCGGGACTTTTGGGCCGAGGCATTGCACGATCGACTTACTTCGGGGGCTTCTGCGGGCTTTTAAAACTACAGGGTTCTGGTGCTTGCGGGACCTCCCAGGATCGAGTGTTCTTGACTTATTACAAAGATTTGGCCTTTTCAAACAGAAGAATCACTAATTAGGGTAGAACCCAAAGCCCCTATGTAAGCTTTGAACCAACGATGCAAATATGTATCATTGTATCATGTATACTATACATAGTATACATGATACATATTTGCATCGAGGGTTCAAAGCTTATATAGTTGCCAGCCCAGGACCCTATATGGAAGTTTCCGAAAATAGAGGACCCCAATATAGTACCCTTAGGGTAGAACCCAAAGCCCCTATGTAAGCTTTGAACCTTCGATGCAAATATGTATCATTATATCATGAATACTATATAGTATACGTGATACATATTTGCATCGAAGGTTCAAAGCTATATATATATATATATACATATATATATATATATATATATATATATAGTTGCCAGCCCAGGACCGTATATGGGAGTTTCCGAAAATAGAGGACCCCAATATAGTACCCTAAGTAGTATATAGGATCCTATATATATATATATATATATTATAAAACCCCAAAATAAGGTATCCCTAATTTTCGGAAACCCCCATGTATAGTCTTTATTAACCTCAAACCCTGAAGCTCCAAAACCTAAAAACACCAATCAATCTCTGAACTCCTGCACTTCTCAAGAGGGTTTAGGGTTTAGGGTTTTAGGGGTTTAGGGTAGACAGAAATCAGAACTATACGACGGGTTGATTGATCATGATAAGCAAAGAGTCGCACCGGCTCATCCCAGGGTGTTGTTCAACACTGCGGCGACGATATCACCCGTGTCCTGAGGCAGGGATTATTTGTTTTCGGCGGTTGGGGTTTTCTCTGCGGCTCGTTCACTGCTGCTGACCCCATGATCGGCAACTTTACACAAACTCCGTGCCTGATCCCTCTCAAAAGCAAGATCTATATTCCAACAAGGAGCAGCTCAAGCATGTTCGGTGCAACTGTGTCAGGACGACGACCTCGATGTGGACCTGGGATCGGTGAGTTCGGCTTCAGTACAAAACATGCACCAGCTTCGGAGTTTGGAATGATCGAGTCATTGAGCAGCAGCTACGAACTAACTATCCTTTGTGCTGTCCGGGATCGCTGCATGTTGGCTTGCTCCGACGGCAACCCATGGCATTCTATGCTGCGGCAGCTATCGATGAACCTGACAATTCGGGATTTCCTATATAGGCAATACTCACATACATGCTTCGTAGCTCTAGCACACACATCACGAAGTAAAGCTTTGCTAAACTGCCGGTGCGTGGAGATCTGGTCGTGCTGTTTAGAGCTCCGAGACATGACCATGCAGTGTTCGAGCTGCCGGCAAAAGGAGTGGTCGATGCTGCCCCAACATCAGACTTGCACGGCCACATGTGAGACCATGGGACATTGCAGGGTTTTGGGGTTTAGGGCTTAGGGGGTATAGAGCTTTGAGAAAGCGGCCGACCCCAATCCAGCCAAAACACTTTCAAGGATTTGCCAGTTTATCAGAACACCAAGAAGTCAGAGCTCCATCAACCCCCACGGGGATTTCAGCTTGTAGACTATATATAGACCCTGAACCACAATTCATATCCTATACTTGGAAGGGCAGGGGACTTAGTAAGTAGGTTATATAAGTATAGAGTTATAAGTGCCCTAAATGGAGTTACCCCAATTATACATATATAACCTACTTACTAAGTCCCCTGCCCTTCCAAGTATAGGTCCCTAAAGGCAAACAGTGCCCAAAGACGATTCTCATATGTAATGAGCATCAGGGCCTTTTTAGGATAAGGGGCGGGCTCATTATACGGAGCTCCACTTTATTTTGGCAACTTTGCAACCGTTGCTTCAGAAGCCACATAGGTTTCGATAGGGGTTAGGAAGTTTCGGGGTTTAAGGTTTAAGGGTTTCGGCTTTCGATAGGGGTTAGAAAGTTTCGGGGTTTATGGTTTAGGGGTTTCGGCGCTCACACCCGGGTTTAGGGGTTTAGGGTTTGGGGTTTGAATTTTTTCGGGGCATATGAAGGCTTAGGAACTTATATGTGGTGTCATGACCCACGATGACGATCGGCCTTAACTGGTCTCATCACTTCCGAATCAGTAAAACCACGAACAATGCATGTATACAAAGCAAGCGAGCCAGCCAACGGTCCAATCGAAAGGAAGGAGCATCGTCTCGAGCTCGCTTTGGCATCCGATCTGCCATGTCACAGCTGGGTGTTAAACATACATCGGATTTGCTAACTTCGTGGGACTGCAGAGTTCAAAACAGTCAGCACTGCACTGCGAAAGCCAGACACGAACAGTTGCACACCACCTTTTTGGCGACTCGGGGAAACGTGCCCAGTCACACCTTCAGCTCAACCCCTGGCTGAACCATGCGAGCAATCTGATTGGACAAACCATGTGTTCATATGTGTGTGTGTGTGTGTGCAAAAGGCTGCAATTAAGCACGATGATGCTCATGCTGCTCGCTGTGCTCCCCTATTAGCTCCTAAGTCCGGGAGCCGTCTCGAAAGCAATGCCTGCAGGATTTCGTGTGGCCCAAGGACAAAAACGTACACACCATTTACCATGCATGGTTGGAGATGATTGCACACTCAAGTTGTATAAAGCTCCACATGCACTGCAGGCACCTCTTGATGTACACTTTTCACGGCAACCATCCTGACACAGCCTCTGCGTGTGCTGTGGCGGCTATGGCTTTGAAATGGCTCAGAGCTCTGCAAGCAGGGTCGGTGTTTCGAGGGAACGAAGAGCACAAAGCAACCTGAGACCAACCATGAATCCAAGTGCACTTTGGAGCTGCATGGGGCCGAATCATTTATGGCACATCACAAACAATTTGGCAAATCATCCAAGTCCCAGGCGAAATACCTTGCCAGCACCCGGTTCGTGCCTGTGCATGTCGTTGGCCTCGAAAAGTACACAATCTGCTTGTACTCGTCGCCGTCCTGCCTCTTGACCCCCACGGAGAATCTGGTCCAATACAGCTCGTAGCGGTAACCATCGGGTGCAAACAACTTCTCCAAGTGATCGTGCTTGCCTCTCTTGTCGGCCTCGCCGGCCTTGTAGCAGTCGATCAAACACTTCATGCACTCGTACTTCAGCACCGCACGAATGTGGTCCGGATTGGACAGAGCAGCATTGGCATTCATGTCATGGAAAACCAGGGGCTCGGGCTTTCGAAGCTGGGTGTACTCATGGAACGTCTTCTTGAAAGCTGCCTCCAAAGCTTCTTTGCGGTTTGCAGTCTTGGCCTTCTTGTTTGCTGGCTCCGGAACATCTGCTTCTCCATCGGCACTCTTGGCTGTCTTGGCCTTCTTGCTTGGTGGCTCCGGGTCATCCCCATCCCCAGCGACAACCTTCGAGGCTTTGGCACTGGACTTCGCCGAGGCCTTGGCCTTGGCTTTGGCTTTGGCCTTGCTCTTCGGCAAGGCTGACTTTGCCTTTGCCGTGGCTTTCGCCTTGGGCTGTCCTCTCGCACTCGGCTTCTTTCTCGGCTTCTCATCCTCATGCTCGCTCTGCTCCTCTTCGGGCTCGCCGTCCTCGGGCTCCTCGTCCTCGGACTGGCCTTCGTCATCGTCACCCAAAGCCACATGATTCTTCATGCGGCGGAGCCCCGATCCTTCCTCCACAGGCCCCTTGCTCGAGGCACTGTACACACCTTCGGGTTCTTTCTTCGAAGGCTTTGACTTTGCAGCCGTGGGGCCCCGGCCACCCCTGCCTCGGCCTCGCCCCCGGCCTCTTTGACCTTTCAATGAAGACTTCATGCCAAACTGATCCCTGCGTGTCACATAGCCCTCCTGAGTAACTTCTGGAAAGCTCGTGTCGCCCGGATCCTTATGCACATTGCCCTCTGCAGTCTCCAATGCATCACCCGGGCCGCCCTTCTCGTCCGGATTCTCATGCACATCGCCCTTGGAAGGGCCCACTGCAGTCTCCAAGGCGGCACCTGGGCCACCCGTCTCGTCCACAGCCGTGCTCTGAGGGGCCTCCACAAAAGGTTCGGGTTCATACCGAATCATTACACATGGCTTTTGTCTTGACATAAGCACGGCTGATGCTCACTGCACTCTACCCTCGAATACACCAGCCCAGTTGTTGCATGAGGAAAGCCAAAACCAATCCATAAGTGCCTCATCCTTCTTGAAGGAATCATTGCTCATGGAAGCAGAGCCAAGGTCACCTGTGGATATAAGGATGTACATCGCAGCTATATACTTGCAACTTTCAAAACTCCATGTGAGTAGTCCAGCTAAAGGCAGGGAGCCATGCTGAGGACTGGCTTGCACTCTCATAGCTCCTCGCTTCACCATGTTGCCCAGACCGGGCGAAGCATTCCTCGGTTTCAACATATTCGGCGGTTGCAAGATAGGGGCACACAACTTCTAGCACCATCAAGCATGCACGGCATCAGACTGCACGACTCATTCGGTTCAGCTGAAACACAGCTGGGCCAGCAGATTTCCAAGAACTGCGGACAAACCCTCGTGGCTGCTGTTGGCCAAGTGAGCAGTCTCCTCGTCGGACGAGCAGACGACCTGCCCACTCAACAATTGCAAACTCTCGCTCAAGACACTATACAGGCGCTATAACCTATACTTGGCATGAGCATGTGATCTGCTGCGAAAACCATGTTCGGATTCAGAATGCCATGCCAGGTCTGAAGCTTCTGTGCAATCCCCGCCTCTGCAAATGGTACTTGTGAAGTGGATGGATCCTGACCAAATGCCGGAGCTCGGGCTTGGCACACAAACATGTATACATCATGCATGTCTTACACAGGAATGCGAAACCATCACACCAATCGTCGTCGATGAGCTAATCGTGACATGAACCTTCCGAAATCTTCTCAATTTGCAATCACACACTGGGGCCTCGGGGGCGAGCTCCGAAACCGGCTGCGAAACTTCTGGGGCCACACTGTCGTGAACCGGCTGCGAAACTTCTCGGGCTGCACTGTCTTGAACCGGCTGCGAAACTTCTGGGGCCACACTGTCTTGAACCGGCTCCGAAACTTCTGGGGCCACGATGTTTTGAACCGGCTGCGAAACTTCTGGGGCCACGATGTTTTGAACCGGCTGCGAAACTTCTGGGGCCACGACTTGAACCGGCTGCGAAACTTCTGGGGCTGCACTGTCTTCAACCAGCTGTGAGTGTTCTGGGGCACTGTCTTGGATCGGCTGTGAGTCTTCTGGGGCCATTGTGTTTTGAATCGGCTGCAAAGCTTCATCGTCTGGAAGCGGCTGGGAATCTTCAACCGTCGGCTTCAAGAAAGGCAAAGAATCCTCCTGCACAATACACTTCCAAGCATTCTCTAATGTGCTAACCCAGCAAGCTTCTGCCATGACAACTTGCAAACATCTCCTTGAAGGACTTCTGCCTCACCACCTTCAGTTGCCCACCCTCCTGTCCGAAGCTTTGTGCACTTGCTCAGTTTGGGCAACATGTTTCGTAGCCAACCGCGAAAAGCTCAACCGAGCAACAACCCCGCCTCCTCCTCACACACACCCATATCCAAGAGAAGCTGCCGGGTTACTGGGTCCTGTGAAAGCAAAGGTATATGACACATGCATGGCACAAACGGAATATGGAGTTTCTTCGGACATGCCACAACATGCTTGCAAACCCATTGTCCTTGTGCCAGGCATGTTTGGTTTTGTTCTTCTTCAGGACTGAAATCATATCCCGGATGGCCCACGATTGCGAGTTTGCAAGGTTCTCTGTAATTGGCATGGAAAAGCGCCCGAACACATCCGCGACCTGCACCATGAGTTTGTCTATAGCCGGAAGGCCATTCGTCAGCCTCATAATCTTCAGAACAGGTCCCAACACGGCAGCATTCGTTCGAACATTGTGTGCGGTCTTCTCCACCTTTACATTGAGCTTCTTCTGAAGTTTGGGATCGTAATGAACCAACAGGTTGAACTTCTTTCGCATTCGCTGCCTCACTTCCGGATTGTTGTCCCACAAGCATGCAAGCCCTGAAAGCGAATCATCTTTCGACCCAGACTGGGAGTCCTCCACTGCTTCAGGCTTCGAAGCATCCATGGCCAAAGCCCCACTCAAAAAGCTTTCTCAAGCCCAAAATCTCACTTGCAAACAGGCTTCACTGCAAGACATCAGCACATGCCTGCCGACCACACTTGACTCGACCCTCAGACAAGCCGGCAGTACAAGGAGGCCAGGGGCACAAAGTCCATGTACAAAGGCATGACGGAGCACCGAGGGCTCGAAGCTTTGGGGTGCAGGTTGGGATTTGTGTGCGGCTGAAAGATATACCGAGGGACGTGATTCAGAAGTTTGGGGGCTAAGGTCGGGATCGATGTTGTTCGCACATTGGGTTGCTAGCTAACACCATGGATTATCGGACTGTGCCTGGGGCTTTCTGAATACTCTGAATCAAACATGCAAGCCCTTGGGCCCTTGGGCCCTTTCTGAATCTCGGAATCGGCGGCCAACGCATTTACGCATAAAGTTGACCCCGTCAAAAATTCTTGACCCATTCGCCTGATTCTTAGACATTTGAGGATCCAATGCTTTATTCCAGGCTCCGGGGTTTAGCAGGTACATATATGTGTGTATACGAGAACATTTATATATATATATATATATATATATATGGTCACGTGCTCCGCGGCCCCCCCCCCCCTCCCCCCCCAAAGGTCAATAGTCCGGATATAGGGTGGACCCCCCCTCCCTGTGGTGTGGGGTGTGGGGTCCCTCTTCCCCCTGTGGGGTGGTTGTGGGGTTTTGGGGTTTAGGGTGTAGCTTAAGCTTTTGAGTGTTGGGTTTGCGGTTACAAGGTATAACGCTTCGAGTCGACAAGGGCTTAGGGAGGATTTGCGGAGTATGTTCTGCTTTAGGCTTAGAGCCTGCTATAGGTGGGATTTAGGGTTGGGTGTAGGGTTTGAAGTACAACTTAACGTTACCCAGAACAAAGGCACTCGCTGCGTTATAGGGTTTACGGCTTGCTTGCGAAGGGCTTGCGTGTGAGCCCTGGCCGCCAGCACCGTCTCACCATCCAGTGGCAGCTCCAACTGCCCCGACCACTCCGCGCACGCCAGCACCCCCCCCCCCCACCCTAGCAGACCATACCATTGGGGCGGGGGGGGGGTGGGGGGCTGGGAACGCCAGACGCCTGACCATATATATATATATATATATATATATACACATGCAAAGATGCATACATATGTATATATGAATGTACATGCACTAACATATGTGTATACGTACACATGCAAGTATGCGAGTATGGACGTAGGCCTGTATGCATGATAGGTATGCAGGTATGTCGGTACGTAGGTATGCATGTGTATATATATATATATATATATATATATATACACATGCATGTATGCATGTACGTACTAATGCATGCATGCATGCATGCATGTATGTATGTATGTATGTATGTGTGTATGCATAGAGCGCCGTTTATGGCTCAAGGCTATACTGGGCTTGATAGCATGCTTTCCATGACCTTTAGGACCTTTACATCTGTCTTGGGCGGTACGTAGGAAATTAGGGACGAAGCCTCATAGGTTGGCCGACTGTTGATTTGGTATGTCCGTCCCTATTATCTAGCCTGTCTGGACCAGACACACTTCCATCTCCCCTCAACCCTCGCACTGCACGTCATAGAAAACGGCTACAAAGGTCTTGGGGTGTGGGAAACTTCAAGCCTTTTCTGAACTTGAGGGCAAAGATTTTCTGAACTTGAGGAAAGGACTTGATTAGGTGAGTTTGCGCAGGAAGGGTTAAGTGGAACGATAATTCCCGGTCTGGCCACGACCATTTTCAATGACCATCTCTTCGCGGGGGCTGGAATAGAAAGAGACATCAGACATATAAGATATTGGAAGTGGCAGCAAACAGAGAGTGCTGGGCTCGCGTTTTAGCCAACGGGAGGGACGTTGTATAGTCCGCGCCCAGGGCAGGACCAAAAGGTGAGTTTGCGATTTGGCAGCTACAGTAGGGCTTGAAGGGGAGTTTGTAGCTCCATGTTAAAAGAAGGGGTTCGCGTTCAGATCTAGGTTTCTGAGGTACAGCGGAAGCACGGAGGGAGAGACGGAGAGAGATGGATGTTGGGCTGGCATATAACGGGCTGTCAGGGTTCTTGGTCTGTGCTTAAAACTCAAGGTGACTGTTCAGGGAGTAGCACGAGCGTTTAGGGCGGGTTAGGCTGTAAGGCTCTTTAGGGTGGGGTCGAGGATGTCCTGCAAAGGGCTTTGGGCTTCGAGCTTAGGGAGCACTGGAAATGAGAACCTATCAATCTTGTTGACAGACACGCTGGCGTCTGTCCCACGGTAAACCATAAATCCTGAAACCATAAATACGAAGAACCCTAACGCCTTAAACCCTGAAGCCCCAAAAACCATAGCCCAGCTGCATACTCATCCTCGAGCTGCTGTTCGAGAGCCTGTCGTTGTGCTTCACTGGGTTAGTTCTTGCAAGTCTAGGGTTAAATGCTAAAGGGTTTAAGGGTTTAGCGCCAGGGGTACCCTCTCAATAACACTAAGTCTCCAAAGGCGTGAAGTAATGACTGCCCCTCAATGTGCAATCAACCCCTCCGAAATACCATCCTACAGCTCTAAACCCTCTCCCTCCAAGCACCTCATAGTTCGAGCCCTAGAAAATTTAAAGACCCCATAATTGAGGTCCCTGGAGGCATAGGGTAAACCCTAAACCATGACAGCGGCTTCCTTCAAACACTCCTAGAGGTTTCAGAACTCTTCTCCCAGACCTAAGAATAAGCTGGGAATAAACAGGGTGCCCTTTGGTTCAAATGGGATTATAAGGGAACCTAACCCCTAAAAAAGGGAATAAGGGCCTACTCTGGGTCCTAGTCTCGAACACTGCCGGGTTTCGAGTTTAAGACTGAGGATGGTCGGTAGTTTAGGATCAAGCCTTTAGGTTGGGTACGGCCCCCACTCAGTAATAGTTGAGTAATTTTCATAACATAGAAATATATGAGGACCTTATAATAGTAGCCCTATTATAGACTCTTACTGTATGGGGGCAGCACCTAAGCTTTAGGGGTTTAGTGGCAAGTTCTAGTCAGGTCTCGTCAGGGGCTTCACAAAAGAACCAAGCAGGGACGTGTGCTTCTCCACAGTAACCCCCGCCACCCTACACTTCAGACCAGCCACCCTAAAGTCAAAGGGGAAAAGGAGGGACCCTTAGTGGGGACCCCTACCCTATAATGGGCTATATAATGGGTATATAATGGCTATATTAAGGGTATATACCTAGGGGTCCTTATTAAGGGTCCCTCCTTTTCCCCTTGGAGAAAACCAAAACCCAACACCAAAAACCATAAACCAGCACAAAGAAGCCCCTGAAGCCCAGCACCCAAAACCCTAATTTCAAACCCTGAACCCTGAAACCCTAAACAAATTCAGTCTGGACCATGATTTCGGGCTCTCCACCCTCCCGAAACCTGAAGCCTACGCTGCAAACTTGAAGCCAAAACCCTAAACCTCAAACCCTAATTAGACCCTGAAACCCTGAAAATCCTAAAGCCTGGACCCTACATCCTAGACCCTAAGACCCTAAAGCCCCAAACCCTACACCCACAAACACCCATCACCGACCTCCCGTTCGCGAGCACGCTGTTCGCGCCACTGCTCAAGTCCTGCTAGGCATTCATCCATCTCCTCATTCCTTGGAGTTTAAGGCTTAGTGCTTTCTTTTTGGTTTTGGAGTCTGGAGTATAGGCCTTTGGGGTTTTAAGGGTTTAGGGTTTGGGTGTTTAGGGTTTAGGGCTTTCGTTTCAGGTTTAGTGTTAAGAGGCCTTACTCTGCTCACGGGGGCAAAGGCTTCTCGAGCGGGTTCGACAACTGCAACGTAGAATCCTAGACTTGGCAAGCTCGAGCCTCTATACTGAGTCTATACAATATACGCCCTAAGCGATCGTCACAAGCCCTAAACCGGTCAAGTTGTGTGTTAGTCTTCGTGTCTTGTGTTGCGTTCTTCAGGGCTGTTGGGATTCGGAGATGACAATGAATTCGGGCCTTTGGGGTACTAGGGTCCTTCGAGAGGGCCCTTACGGTCCTCAATAGTGGGTATTTGGGGTATACCCAGAGGCTCCATAGTAGTTCCTTTTTGGGATTACCTTATAGGATTCTATATATGAACCCCAAAAAGGAACTACTTTGGAGCCTTAGGGTAATAAGAAGGTAGTCCGGCGGCGCTACAGGCCAGCCCAGCGCTCTGGAATGCAGCTCTGCTGTGAGCTACCGAGGACTCAGCACTGATGACCTGCAACATAGAACATGAGAACGGCATTGTCTCGGACTTGCCCAAACCGAGTATGCCAGGTTGCCTAACCCAACAATTACCATCCATCATCACGCATTGTTTACATGACAGACACATATCTACATACATGACCCCACAACTACCCTCTATGATACCCAGATACACACTATGGACGATTAAAGGGCCCCTGCGGGTCCTGGTACTGAAGCAGCGTCCTGCACACCGAGTTGGGGGCTATAGCCAAGGCACAGGGCTCGGATCTCTTCCGCCACCTGGTCGTCCAGAAGAGCAGCCCTTAACGCTGCCTCCTGGCGTGTTCTTCGTGTGCGCGCGCATGTGTCTGTGTGTGTCTCTGTGTGTGTCTCTGTGTGTGTCTCTGTGTGTGTCTCTGTGTGTGTCTCTGTGTGTCTGTGTTTGTGTCTGTGTTTGTGTCTGCGTGTGTGTGTCTGTGTGTGTGTGTGTCTGTGTGTGTCTGTGTGTGTGTGTGTGTGTGTGTGTCTGTGTGTGTGTGTGTGTGTGTGTGTGTCTGTGTGTGTGTCTGTGTGTGTGTCTGTGTGTGTGTCTGTGTGTGTGTGTCTGTGTGTGTGTGTGTGTGTGTCTGTGTGTGTGTGTGTGTGTCTGTGTGTGTGTGTGTGTGTGTCTGTGTGTGTGTGTGTCTGTGTGTGTGTCTCTGTGTGGGTGTCTGTGTGTCTCTGTGTGTGTCTCTGTGTGTGTGTCTGTGTGTGTGTGTGTGTGTGTGTGTGTGTGTGTGTGTGTGTGTGTGTGTGTGTGTCTGTGTGTGTGTG